GTACTGACGTCCTATACAAGAAAGAGTCTATAAATTTTTCTTCCAACTCCAGTACTTGACGAGTTAAGCACGATTAATCAGGATTTTATTGGTACTGACAAAATCTGGTCATTCCTCTGTCGAAACAGCAAACTTTTTGAAAAAAATTTCGTTTTTCCTAAAATACTCCTAAACTGTTGGACCTACGGAAAAATTGCATAGAATTTTATTTCTAGCTGACGACTAGAGCTACAAATTTCGTCTGAAACATTTTTTGCTAACGAGTATTTTACAAAAAAAGGAAAAAATAGTTTATTGCAAAATACTCGTTAACTATTGACGCTGGCGAAAAATGTTTCATACAAGAGTTGTAGTTCTAGACGTCAGCTACAAATAAAGTCCTATGCAATTTTCCCGTAGGTCCAATGGGTTAGAATTAATTGAAGAAAAACGAAAATTCCGAAGAATCTAAAAGGGTACGTACCCTTTGAAAAAATCCCGAAAAAAATTGCTTTAATTAAAAGTTGTAGCTACTGCTATTACCTGCAAAAAAGGTCGTACACAATTTTCTTCTATCTCGAGTACTTCACGAGTGATCGATCAATTATAGTAGTTTTACCATGGCTTCAAATTAAAGTCCATGCACAACTAATAACGTGGCGAATCTGTTGGTCATGAGATCATAGAAGTCGAACCTACTGTTCTTTCTTATACCGTGCCCGGACGTTGAGAATATAGCATATTGCGAACTTATGGCTACGGTATATAATTATATTGCAACGAAAAAATAAGTGCCGCAAGCTGAGGCATAACGAAACGCGTGGAACCGCCAGCCCGTGCATATTTTCTTTTTCAGGTCATTCGCGAAAGTATTTAGTATACACCGACGAACGTTCTCTCCCTTCGACGCGGCATGGCGAAGGCAGAATTTTCTCGCGCTCCTTTCCAGGACTTCTTTTACCGGGAGATTGTTCGTGCTCGTTCCTTTGGAGATCGTCGCGCGAGAGGATAATCCAAGATTGCCGCAGACAGAAAAAAAAGGATGAGAGAAGCCGGTAGGGCTGAGCGAAGGTGGAAAGGAGGGAAAGGAGAAAATAAAGAAGAAGCCGTGGCAGAACGGCGGCGCGGCTTCCGTCGATGTAGACTCCGCTCGGTCTGTATTACGAGTGTGGTAACTGTTCGAGAATCGATTTATCTCGTTGCACACGGGAAGAACGTCGCCTTAACCAACACATCGGAACGCCCTCGTGCCGCGAACAATGATATTCTTGTCGATAACAATTTACCCTTTGTATGCGCGACGGTGGATCGCGGTTGCACGCTTCCCAGCCAACCTGTTTCCTCGTCCCGTGCTGGATTAACCATCGCATAACAATAAGAAAGGGAGAAGGGTTAAGCTGTCCGATCAACGCCCCTTTACGGCTCTATCATCTGGCATCGAATGGTAACGCGTGTAACACGTTGCGCACTTGAATCGACGACTTTATTCAAACAGTTATTCGTCGCTCGAGTTTTTCAAACACGTAACTGAACAATAAAAATGCAAACCAGGAATTGTTCGAGCGAGTAATTATTATGCGCGGAAGTGCATTCCATAAATCGTAAACCGTTTCCAACGCGTCGATGAATAATGAAAAGAGAGGGGACAAAAAAAAAACGTTTTAACGACAATATGTATGTATATACTGGTCGAGTATCGATACACGCTTTCCGTAAATATGAAAAGAATATCCGAACAAGTCGCAATTTGAACCGCGTAATGCATCCACGAACGCGTTGCTAGATAAACGTTCGCGAACGACGAGAATAGCCCAACGATAAAGGTCTACCAATTCCGCGTTAGCCCGAAGGACTCTCACCGGAATCTGCACTGCGACATTTATGCCGTTTTTCACCTTCTGCTTCTTTCCGTCGTTATCCCCATTTTCCTTTTTCCTACCTCTCTCTTTCTCTATCTATCTATCTATCTTTCTCTCTCGCACCCTCGCCCTGTTTTTCTACCCTTCGCTAGCATTCTAACCCATCAATCGATGGGTGAGAAACGGAAAAAGGTACGGGATTGTCGCGAAAGATGGATTCCGGTATCGAAGGATCGGGGCCAGGATTTCCCAGGTTATATTCCACGCCGCGAGCTATGCGGGATATCTCGAGATTCGAACGTATTCCGATAGAGGAGACTGCCTCGAAGAGAACCTATGGAAGCTGCTACTTCGTATACGTATACATACGTCTCTCGTATCTGCGAGGATGTGACTTGAAAGCTTGTCGACCTCTCGAAATACGAGTCTCTTAAAATCTACTAATTGTGATTGTGTTACGTCGATTCTGGTCCGATTCTTTCACTGTCAAATCTGACTTTTACTTTATTTTAACGTTTAACCCATTCGCTGCCAAGGACGAGTATACTCGTCTTTGGCAGGGTGTCACGCATTGCCAGGACGAGTATACTCGTCCTGCTTTGAATATATTATAACATGCAGGCTCTTTCGAAGGCCCATTGCCAACGACGAGTATACTCGTCTTTGGTTTTCTGCTTCTAAATGATTATGTATGATAATATATGTGCTCTTACCAAGAAATATCAGGGTTTTGGTAAACAATAGCACTCAAAATATAAATGGCAATAGGAATGACTTCATATAATTTAGGCTTGGCAGCGAATGGGTTAACACGCAATCACGTTTCGAAGATTATAAAAGAGAGAAAGCGTAAACACGAAGTCGAAGAGATTGCCAATGGAGAGGGAATCTACGTGAGTATCTAGTCAGGATATGGAATACAGCTAGGGTCGCGCGTCTTCCATTGGCTCATGCATTTTTCAACAGCCGCCCATTTGTTTGATCAGACTTAGAGCCCGCTGAGAACTGCATTTTTCCCGAAGACGTCGAGAGGTACGGCGACGCAACGCGACGCATCGCCGTCTACGTCGTTGTTTGAACAAGAACGAAGAACGCTATCCCGCGCTTTAACCCGGATCGAAAACACTTAGCGCGGACTAATCGCGATCATAGATTTTTATACCGTTACGTACTCAAAGAGGAAACAAATGCGAACACTTACCGATAACGGTGAGATTGTACCGAAAACTGCGCGTCTGCCCTTTTCGAAAATCGACTCTGCACCTGTACGTGGCTGCGTCGTGCCTCTTGATATCCTCGATCACTAACACTGCCGGGCTCGGGAACGTAGTACGAAAGTACGCACGTGGCCCGAACACGCCTGAGTCCGATGAATGGAGAGCTTTCGTCACAGGTTTTTCTCGCGCGTCGATTCTGCAAACAAACGAAAGCATAAACAGATGAATTACATTATATTTTATAGTTTCCAATAGAATTTCGATGCCCGAATTATGATGCACGCATAATATAATTCCGACGAGGAAAATAATTCGTTTTGAACCCCGAACTAATAAAAACGTAAAGAGTCGGGCCACAGACGGAATGGGAAACTTCAGCTTTCGATCGAACGAGGAAATTCGTCGGTTTTCTCTGGTCGTAGAGACGCGTTTGATGGAAAAGCTTGGATGCAGGAACGAAAAGAGATACTCGATACCATTGTTCGCATTCCCGGCGACTTTCCCTCCGCGGTGAAGCCGTGGAAACTTCTTGCTCGGACGCTTTGTCTTTGTCGTTTCCGTTTCCGTTTCTCGCCCGTTCCAACCAGCTCACCGCTGCAGCGCCGGTCCGTCCCGTTTTTTCTTCGCCCGGGACCGTTCCGAGTTGCACGCGGAATCCCAAGAATTCGCGGAACGGCCTGCGGTATTCGATATGTATGTAGGAAACGATCGCAATTTCCGGCCAATGAAATTCAAGTGGAGCGTAGAGGTTTCATTGTAAGGGTCCGCACAGGCACGGGGAGACGAGAACACGGGAAACGGGTTAGAGAGAGGAAGAGGGAATCGCGCGCGGGTCGAAAGCTTCGTAAAGTCTTTTCCATTACGATTCATCGGGACTGGGCGGCGTCCATTATTGCTCGTCTACTAGAGAATATAATTATTTCAAATCGATGGAATAATTACCGCCGACTCCCGAGAATACAACGCGCGGCCAGCCAGAGGTAACGCAATTAAACCGCGTTCGTATTATCCGACATTTCTGCGTGCGCCGATATTCCCGTTACTGATTGCACAGCCTCCGTATCGCGGCGAGAAAAACTATTGCACCGCGATAATCGAATCGCTTTAACTAGATTACAATTACATTGATCGTAGGAATTTGTAAAGAAGCCGGCTTTAATTAAGGATTATAATTAGAACAAATTAGGTTTCGTTTAGTTAAGCAGAATTTACGCATGGGACACGACTCAAAGCGGAAGTTTAAGATCGAAGTTAGGAGCATCGCTTAATACCACGTTGTCACAGTGAATTATGGTGAAAACCTTTTTCCCTGTACCTTGGTGACAGTGGAGCCTGCAAGGCGGATACGAAAGGCGAAATAAATGATCAGGTATGAAAGACGATGGAGGTGTTAGATCAGGCTAGAGTGACTAAAACGTCGGAGATTGATGAACTCGACTGGCGTGGCGCAGCAAGGTGAGCCGTTGTATTGTAAATGGATTAAAATTTCCGTCAGTTTTCTTCATTGTAAAAAAAAATACTGTCTTGATTACTCTTTCTCTCTCGCTCACGATGATCGATGCGCGTGGTCTAACGACTAACGATATCGTTTACGTGTTTATATCCTCGCTGACGCGCACTCTTTATTTTTATACCAAAATTTATAAAATACCTCGTCTCGCAGTCAGCAAACCGAAGAGAAAATAATATTGACAATAAAACGATGAAACAAAACGATGATTTCATTCTATTTCCACAAGTTCATAAAAAATTGAAAACTTGTCTCTCTCTCTCTGGTACGAATGTAGAAAATCGAAAATTTCGTTTGGAACATCCAATAGGATTGCCGGTTAATCGTCGGTAACGGCACACCTTGCGGAATTCATTGAAATTCTCAAACGTTCTCCTTCTGCGCAATCCATGTTAATACGTGTTCCGAACACTCTGGCCCACGATATTCATTAACGAATAGCTAGGTACCGTGCGCTAAAAAAACGTTTGGATCGGTGCCCGTGTTATGGCCGGAGCGTAAAAAGAGGATAGAGAAAAAAAAAAATGTCAAGTGAGATACTGTTATGGGACGAAAGCTTAATGCGCCATAATTATGTAGCATTAGCCAGTGCTATATAATGCACCATGCCGTAATTATGGGGCTCCCACGATTCTCCGTATTTACGACGACGTCGTACCGGTTCGGTAAAACTGGGTAAAGCGTGCGGCGAACTCGCTCCTTACCGCGACGGCTAGCTTTTTCCATCGACAGCACCGATAACGAGATCCACATATTATCTGCGGGGCCTCGCGATAAACAAGCCAGTCTATAGTTTCTACAAAATTTCATTTCATCGGAATCTTGTAGTTCATTCCCGGAACTATTATCGAGGAAAAAAATAAAAAGGCCTCGAGGAACAACGGGGAAAAAGCGATCGATGAAAAACAGTTAGGTGCAATAACGAAAGGCGTTTATTTTTCTACACACGGTGACTTCTCGCAGCCACTCGACCTACTCGATTCACGTCGCGCTCCGACGCGGCGCGACCAGTAATATGGAATCGATGTCTGCTTTATGAAACGTTTTATCTCTCCGGCGGCGCGGTCCGTTTTCCAATATTTCGCGTCGTTCTCGCTCCGGCACCTTCGCAACCTATTCTTCGGACCCCTTTCGATCCGTTCGCCCTACTTTCTTTACTTATGCCTCGTCCTACTCTTCCCTTCGCCTTTTGCCCCGGCAACCCTTCGCTCCGTTCGGCCCCTCGTCTCGTAAAAATGATTCACGCCCTCCGGGCGGAGGGTAAATAGCACCGGCATAAATATACGAGTCTTGTTCTCCGCATAACGCTTTACAACCCCTTTACTTCCTGAGGTTTTTTTTTGTCAATTAGGTTCCCCCAAGTTTACGACCGATGGGTTGTTGCCCCGGTAACCCTGTTCTATCTTTACGACTGCCGATCGAGTTATCTTATATCTCAATGTTATCGATTTTTAAAATAAAATAAACCGGATGAAAATCTATATAATTACATCATTCGATCTAATAGATATTTCGATTAAAACTCGAAAATATCCTAATAGCGTAAGTAACCGTTTGGCAATATCCGCTTTCATTGTCGATTGGAAGCGTTCACAGCGGATAGGGAAAGCGGGTCCAATGGGAACAGCGATCCATTTTCTATGCACCACTGCGTAATTGCAACGGAAACGTGCGCGTGGCTTTCTTTTTTTTTTTCACGTATATTTTGCTCCATTTGCGTTGCTTTTCTGGCCGCAAGCTTTACTACGGCGCGGCGTTCCATCTTTTTGCACGGCTTCCCGCGGTTCCCCGAGCGCGGCGAGCTACGGCGGCGTCGCGTCGCGTTCTCCTCGTAAAAATGATGCATGTCCTCCGGGCGAAGGATAAATAGCGGCGAAATAAATGGAGACCCATCCACTATATTTACTTCCCTCACGTTTCCTTCAAGAATATCGTGTATCCGTATATTTATTGCCACGCTAATTTCGCGACGTTTCGCGTGCCGTTGTTTTACCACGAGAGACCACGGTCGACGACGTTACGTTCCTCCATTTTATCCTCCGGGCGTCTTCGAGCTTTAGAAATTTATACATTTACTCGGCCATTTCTTCCGTCTTTATTCACCGACCATTCGCCCGTTTTACGATCAGCATTTTTCTATTCCGAACAATACACATTGCCACAGACGTGCGAACGCGAAGAGATATTTTCTTTTAAAAAATGAATAGAAAATCGTTCCCGTGAGGTTCGATACTAAATGCAAAAGTGATTTGAAATGGGATTAAAAATCCCGCCAGTGATTTCCAGCCCGTTAACCAAACGTCGCGTTCATTGTTTATCTTCCAGCATCCGCGCCGTAAAGATAATCAACGATCCGTGGACACAGAGTAAACAACAACGTATGTACCATCGAATTATTTTTGTTGTTCCTAGATCGTCGAGCAAGAACCGTGAAAAACTTCCATTCGCACGGCTTATGTTGAATTTTTGCTCGCGACGAAAACTGGTACGGTTGATTACAATAAATTATTTTGTAGGAAAGGAATAGTAGGATGTCCGACGACGATCCTTCGTTTTCTCTTTCTCTCTCTCTCTTTCTTTTTCCATTTCATTCATTGCCGTATTTAGGTGGTACACCGGCAGAGGTGGAAAGAGCATTCCGTCGAGACAGGAATGACGAGGGAGAACGCTTGTACACGATAACTCGTATACCAACGATTGCTATTTGTTTTCACGTCCGTGCTGTCGGCGACAATGAGTCCTCGTTGAAATGGAAGTCGGTTTCGCCGGTGAATATTTCCGAGGGCATGCGCGCGTACGACTGTATGTACGTAGCCGGTAGCTAGTAGTCCAGTTCACGGGTGGGCGCGACGGATTTCAGTAGAAATAACGACATGCAGTCAGACATATCGGAACGGGACACACGTAGTTGCCGTTGACGCTATCGTGACGTACTACTGCCGCGACCGAGTGCTCTCAATGCGTTGATCCGCGTCACTACTTTTACCTGTTTTTCATTTCCCTACCTACGGATCAACATTCATCTTTATTCTCTTAAGCGCACTTCCTTCCCCGACTGTTCTGTCCAAGAATTTATTAGCAAACCGTCTAATTATTTTCGGCCATGTAATTTCGTTAAACGCGTCACGAATGTTGTAATACGGAATATTACATGTGGGGCAACGGGAAGTCGCTCGAACGAGCATTCACTTAATTAGTTCGAACAGCATATTACGTACGCGCACCGTGAGCGAAGAGAGAGAGAGAGATATGGAGATTGGTTCATCGAGGCTGTATGTACAGCGACGACGACGACGACGACGACGACGACGACGACGGCGACAGCGACTCGTTTATACGCGCTGGTTATTATTGGCTCGAAAGCATACGTCGAACGATTGTAAGCTGGCGTCGCTCTTAAGCGCTTAATTAAGACCACTTCGTATGGATTCACAGGCAAAGTTTCTACGATGAATATATCGGCGAAGGATATAGAGAAGCGTGCGTGCGTGCGTGTTATGCGTGCACCCAGCTAGGTGCTTACGTTGACGGGGAGTAATAATAGCTGCGCGAGAGCTTGCGCTCCCTAGACTTGGCATACCACTGCGGTTTCACTCTACCCCGGGCCCATCCTCCTGTTCCTTTCATCAGCCCTTCCGTACCCGTTTTCGTTCGTCTTCGTCATATTCCGCGGCGTCTCGCGGGGC